CCCCAAAACCCCAAAACCCCAAAACCCCTTTAATTTTTATGAAAATTGAAATAAATTTCCAGTTAATTCTATTAGAGTATGAAGGGGAGATCAACATTTTAGTCCCGTTTCTGATGTAGATACCTTCAAATATCTTAGGCTTCAGATGGTGGCAAGGGTAGTAGCCTGACCAGAGAGAAGATTTGATAATTACTTGTGATTTCTTTGTATCCTGTTGGACACTCCAGCTTCCTTTGATATCACCATCAGTGATAGACTCAAGGAAATCAAATCTGAAAATAGCATCATCTTTTTCGTTCAAGTCTTTCTTATCTTTAGTCTAAGCACTTCTAAAGTGAAGGTATGATTTTTCACTAAGACAGTTTGTATGGTCAAGATATTTAAATCCTAATTTTTCTAACTTCATGAAGAGGATTGAGTTTAATACTTCCAACCGGAACGACCTGACAGTCATTCTTGGTGGCCTTTATCACAAAAGCAAGTCTATGAAACTCAGTGAAGTTTTGAGGAAGTTCCTTGACCTCGTCATCCTCAGGCTCAGTATCGGTATCTTTATTATCTTCTCCCTTTCCTTCAGGATTTTCTTCAGCTGCCTGTTCGTATTTTCCTTCACCAGTTAGGGTTTCTAAATTTTTTAATATTTTCATGCTTTCCATTAAAGAAATCATTGTATTTATTAACATATTCATTATGCTGCTTCAATGTTTCAGGAAGTTCAGAGAATTTGAAGTCACTACTAGAAGCCCGGTAGAACTTCTTCCTTGAGAATTCTAGCTTTCCTTCATAAAAGATGGCAACTACGAGGAAATAATCTGGTTTTAGGTCATTAAGTCCTCAAAAATAGCAGTTCATCACATTCGATGGAGCTGTTCAGATTTTTGAGGACAATTCTGAGTTGGATTTTAGAATTGGTAGTAAATTATGTCCTGTACCTTTCCATCACGTTGATAGTCACTCCTGCAGGGTTCAGGCACTTTATCCTACTTTTGAGGTAGATTAGATCCATGATTTCAATATTTATATAATTTGAAGGGGTTTTGGGGTTTTGGGGTTTTGGGGTTTTGGGG